AACCGGTGATGATGGGTAAATACAAGACAGAACCCCGCTCGGACCTGGATAGGAGGAAATCCCTCAATCAAGCAGAACAATCACCTTTTGATCAATGGACCTCAGTGGTATTGCATTAAATCAACATCGTTTGTCTAACAGTTTAGTCCTCATGGGGTTTGATGCATACTGAACTGGCGGTGGGATGGAAATCATTGGGTCTTGGCATGGCTGGCCAATGAAGGGCTGGGCATGGTTGTCGAGATGGCATGATGCACGCACGGCGACATTTCAGAAAAAGGAAAGGCGTCATGCGGGCAAATGACGCGTGGGAGGTCTGGCATGGGGTTGGTGGTTCTGGACGGCTCCGTTGTCGTGCATGATGTTTTGTTGGCAGATGGGGCTCCATGTGATGTGTGCATGCTGAGATTACAGTATCCGGGTTAGCGGTGCTGTCGGCGTGCGGCGTCGACAACCTGGGACGTTGGTTGGCTGCGCGAATTGAAGAAACGCACCAGTGAGCTATAACTTCACGTTTTGATTGTATCTTGGGATCAATTGTCAACAGTCAGTGCGATGAACTACTCTCAAATGTCTTCTGTCGTCCTTTTGAAGATGACGCTTCAGTGGGCCCATAGTTGCTGCACACAACCCAAGAAGCAAACCACCTCGTACATGCAGCGGAAGTGATGACCCTTGCCATGAGTTAGGAGATCATTAGATACAAATAAATGGAAACTGTACGTCAATCGGTGGATTTCATTGCTTTTAGACTGAAATTTAGTTCGTTATGCTTGAGTTAACATAATGCCTGACTCAACCCTGTTACTAGTATCGGTCCGAGCCTCGAGCAATCGTTCTTGATTGACCTTTGACTCATATGCGAGTACATTATACAGCATCTAGACTATGGCAGTATTGAATTCGAACGCTCCCTATTGAATTTATCATATAATCATGTAGAGATAGACAATGATACATTGAAAAACGTGCATGTGACTCAAACTCCGCAGTGCTTGTTCTAATTAGTAGATGGCGCCAGACAAAATGTCTGTATTCGCTAATTGAAGCTCAGCACATTTTGAGTAGCACTTATTGAGTGTTGTGTGATAAAACTTGTTTGGTCAAATGACAACGTCACGCCATGAAATAGCATTGGGCACTGAGTGTGTAGCGCCTAGTGTTCGAGTTGTTGCCTATCTGCTGATCCCACTACTCTGGACTCAGTTCTACCATTACCTCCATTTGCCTCATCTGGTGAGACATGACCGCTAATGTCTGCGAGGCTCTCCAAGGCCGCATCTGCTCAGCACGTCCGGCGATCAGGCCCCAGAAGCTGCAAACATTTCTAGTCCATCCCTTGCTTCAATCCTGTCAGATGACGCCATTGTTCCGCTGCCTGGTGGTCTGATACGAACATTGCCAGACCCCAGCATTCCGCACCACAAGCCAAAAACTTATTTTAAGAAACGGGCCCCCTCCGATCTCTTCATACTCACCGTATCAAGAAGCGCAACTGATTGTCATTCTTCTCGCTTACGGCACGACATAGAGAATCTTGTTCATCATGACGAGTCGCGATGTCTATCGTTACCAGGGGCTTTCGAGTCCGCGATCCATTCGTCTGATGGTGCTTCATCAAAATGCGAATCTCAATTCCGCCCAGGGCCTTACTTGTGACCTTATCGAGGCGAGCGCGGATGCTCCGCCATCTTATTTTGCTCTGTCGTATACATGGGGCGGAGAGCTACCCAGCGAACCACTGATCATTCAGATCCCCTGTACTGATAAGCCATCCGCTGGCTTCACTGATACCGGTGGAGCAGGAGCTACTCGACTACTCATCACTCCCAACTGCGCAATGGCTCTGAGTCTGTTGCAGAGGTCTATGAAGAGAAGATTCAAGACACGCCGCCATATTAGTGTTTGGGTTGATGCTATCTGCATTGACCAATCGAAGACTGAGGAACGTAGCATTCAGGTGGCCATGATGGCCGAAATCTACGATCGCGCGAAGAGAGTGATTGTCTGGCTGGGCGAAAACTACGCGCCGAAAAGCTGGAACAGCCTGGCGGTCTCTAAACCATTATCGATGCTTCCTCGGATCGAATATGATCACAATCATGGCCAAGACTTAAGCGCTGCACGGCGAAGATGGCACTGAAAGGTACCTAGTATCATGACCCATCTCTTTCTTAAACCAATGTGCCCACTTTGAGGATAATCCTTTTTTGTCTGTCTGACCAATACATAGTATGCAACGAAACCACCTTACATCGTCTCAGATTGGCGCCATATTGGACACGGGTCTGGACCCTGCAAGAATTCGCGCACAAAACTGCTGCGATACTGTGCTGCGACTCGCATCTTCTCCTCTTCGCCAATCTCGCTCATCTCCTTGCGGTTGCTTCCAAGGACGAGACCATGCCCACTCAGCAAGGGTTAGATTTGCATGTGAACCTGTACAAGTGGCAGGGTACTACAGACCGCCCATTTCGTGCCGCAACGAATCAACTGCGACGTGTGCTTTCGATGAAGGCTTCGGAGCCACGAGACAAGATATATGCGTTGCGGGCCCTTTCGCCTGGCGTTCTGGGTAAAATGAGGGTCAATTGCCAGCAACCCATCGGGGAAGTGTTTCATGAAGCTACAAGACTCATGGTCGAAGAGGAAGGAAGTCTGCGGGTGCTGTACTTCGCGAACCGAGCGAAGACAACAGTTGGTGTTCCTTGGGATAAGCTGCCCTCGTGGACTGTTGATTTCGCCACAGAGGACGCCGAGATGAGAGGCTCGCATAAGTACTACTACAAGAGCCTGTGCGCTGTCTCTGGAGGAAGCAAGCCGATTTTGGAGTTTTCGAGAGACGGTAAGAGTATTCATCTCCGGGGAGTGCATGTTGGTCGTGTCACGGGTCTTGTGAGCGACATATTTCCCGCAAGCAGCAAGTGCATGAAGGGCACGGGGTGCGTCTTGGACAACAAGATTAAGGACGAAATGGAGGGCGAGCCTGAACAAACGTTCCAGCACGACTGTCAAAGCCGATACCTTGATATACTAGGGAATTTCTTGAAGGATGTGGCGTGTCTCAACAAGCCGGATTCTCAAATATACAAGATGAGCAGCAGCCTTTGTCGACTACTGTGGTGGATTATCCAAGGCCCGAAAGAGTCCGAATGGTCTTCATCCACGCCATCTTCGTTGACAGGTCAGGGTATGACGGCCGTGTCGTCGGTAGTTGAGTGGGACTCACGACACTTTGGGAGCCAGTGCAGAGTCGCGCTTCGCGTCGGGAGGCTGTTCTTCACCTCGGATCAGATAGCTGGGTTTGCTGTCACTAGCGTACGTGAGGGCGACGTAGTATGCCTCATCGCGGGTTTGGATCATCCTTTTATCTTGCGGCCGCGAAAGGGAGGCTACGGGAGCTATACACTCGTGGGACCGACAGTATTTGCAGGTGCCATGGGTGGTGAAATGTGGGCCGCCAATGAAAACGAGTTGGAAAATTTTGAAGTTATCTGAGGCTTTCTAGTTGAGTTAATGCACTCAGGGCGGGCGAGGTTGGACGGAAATCGGTGCCGAACGCTGATTGGACAGGCACGGAAACATATATCTAGTTTGGATGACGTTAAGCTTTTCCAAGTACTGTATTCAACAACCTCTGCAACTTTCACAATAGCTGCACATGCCTGAACAAAGTCTTGACGGTTCAGAATCGCAGAGGGTTCTTCTTGTGGAGCGGATGCTCCAAGAGCAGCACACCTAAATCATTCACAACCCAACTCCGAAAGGGGGAAAAGAAAAGGGCAAACTATTAAAAGATATGAAGCGTTTTTAGTTGGAGAGTTGATTCCCTCGGGGTGCTCATGAGGCTGAATATTATACAAACTGGTAGGCTTATTTGTGATGGCATAGATCAAGCATCTTCCGGATGTGGACTAGAGTCTTCAATTAGTCTCCTCAAAATAAGGTTCACGACGTCACTATTCCGTCGATTTGGTGAAATACGGCGGTAAGCCAACTGGCCTTCGTTAAACTCCATATTTCCAGAGTTTCGTTTCCGGAAAACCTTACCATTGGTGTGGGAAGTGGACTAATGATAATCGATTTCCGCGCGTTCCACGCAAATCCCCCTCACTTGTCCGGTGCCCCCACCAACAGACTCACGAACTCATGAGCCATCCGGTACTTTAAGAAGCCACCTTCGCGTCCTTCCCGACTACGCTCTTGTTTCTAAACAGAACCGACATTTCGCTCTCAATTACACTTCTTCTCAGGGAGTCATTCGTCACAATGTCAAACTCTAGCGAGCGCAAGCCTGTCCCTGACCAAGCCGAGGATGACGCTTGGTTCCCCTCTCCCTTCTCTTTGACGCAATACACCGCTCCCAAGACCGACTTTGATGGCGCCAACTACCCCAACGCATACAAAGGAGGGAAATGGAAGGTCCTCCTCATTGCCACGCAGGAACGGTACCTGAAGATGGCCGGCGGCGAGTTCTTCTCGACGGGCAACCATCCTGTCGAAATGCTGCTCCCAATGGTTCATCTTGACGCTGCTGGCTTCGACATCGATATCGCTACCATCTCCGGCGACCCTGTCAAATTCGAGATGTGGGCTTTTCCCAAAGAGGACGAAGCAGTGAAGGGCATCTATGAGAAGTACAAGCAGAAGATTCGCAACCCGCTCAACCTCGAGGAGGTGTGGGGCAATGGTTTCTCGGCCGACACGCCCTACATCGCTGTCTTCATCCCGGGGGGTCACGGTGTCTTGAATGGTGTTCCAGATTCGGCGACGGTCGGAAACATTTTGCGTTGGGCTCATCAGAATGAGCGATACTATATCACTTTGTGTCACGGACCGGCCAGTATGCTTGCCGCAGATGTTGGAAAGCCTGCAGGAAGCAAGTTCATCTACGATGGCTATCAGATTGTGGTGTTCCCCGATTCGCTTGACTCGGGTGCAAACATCGACATTGGATACATTCCTGGCAAAATGGAATGGCTTGTTGGCGATCGCCTGCGAAAGCTAGGGGTCAAGACGTTGAACGAGGGAATCACTGGTCAGACACATCAGGACCGGTACCTGCTCACCGGCGACTCGCCGCTTGCGTCCAATAATCTTGGAAAGCTTGCAGCCGATGTACTGCTGAAAGATGTGGTCGGTCGGAAGTAGGATTCTGGAAAGACATGAGAAGATCCTTGGTTGCTCGCCGCGCAACAAGATAGACCCATGCGGATGTCGAGATCCTAGCTCGGCCTTTGGAGAAGCGCTCGGTTCGGGATGGAAACAAGCAAGGAACAGAGTAAATATTACAGAACAGATTCAGTTGATTCCTATGGGCTCAAACATGAGAATAACTTGGCAATCCGCCAGGTGTTTATTCTTCTTCAACCGTCCTGATGTTGTTGTTCTCCTCCATCATGACTGGACAATCTTGAACCCTGTTAGGGCTTTCTGGCATAGACACAGTGTCTGGTTAAGCTGTCAGCACCAACTATCAGAAGCGGCGACTCCATGAACCTACATGGGCCAAAACGCGTGAATTCTCCTGTCTCGAATGTCAACCCTCGCTTCAAGTCCGCCGGCCATCCATTAATGGGCCAGGAAAACGCCTTGCAAGTGACGTCCAGAAACCCCACCTTGTGTATAACGTCTAGATAGCTAGATAAGCTGATAATTGGACGTCCGAGGTAATCTGAAGCCTGATAAAGGGCATCATGCCATCTGGCGATGGCAGAATCATCTCTAAGAGTGCCATCATGACAGCCCAGAGGAAGCGAAAGGTCGCCGAGCTCGAACCAGCCGCCAGGGTTGAGGTTACTGTTTTGAAAGCGGGTACGTCAGCTCAAACTTGTTTTCCCTCATTATTGTCTTTGAAGGAAACTGTTCAGGTAGGGGCAAAGGTAGTACTCGTATATCTTCTGAATCATTGCTGGTAGGTCGGAAAAAGAACCCGCCATCCCTCGACACATGATAAAGTCAAATGGCCGGCTGAATTGCCAGTCCTTCTCGAGATCGTCTATTTCAAACTTGCAGTTTGTTGGGATCCTGGAGCCAGAGATTTAGCGTCCATGCCTATACAGTTTCAATAAAGGACCTGGTGGTTTGTCTTTCGTACCATTCGGGTTGTATCGGGCTTAGGTCGACTCCAATTACCTAGGAAACATCGTAAATCCAGACGCTCGGAAGCCGCACAGCGATAATGATATCTTACTTCTGCCGAAGGGAATTCGTCCGCTAATGTGCCAAAGTGAATCAGCATTCTTCCGCGTTATTTTGAACTTTAAAATCACAGACGCTGAACAAACCGAAGTCGATAGCCCAGATTCCAGTACCGGTGCCAATGTCAAGAACGCGTCTAGCACCCCTGTGTCCGGGATTTAATGCCAAGTTGTCGTCCAGGCACAGCAACCAAATGTGATGCTGCAATTCTAAGTCATCCGAGGTTCACCCCTTTAGCAACTGACCCTAGTAACACTGCGTTTGATCTCGTCTTGTCTTACCTAAACGCTCGTTTTCTGTCTGAAAGCTCTCGTGGTTACCATGTGCAGGCGACTGTTACAGATATCCGACGTCATCAATAACTTACATCATCGTTTGGATAATTGTACTCTATCGTTTCCGTTAGCTCAGCTTTCTCATCAGAGAATCCATGCTCGGTGAGCCATCATGCTGCCCGCACAGTAAGAATGGTAAGTTCTGCCATTCTCCCTCTGGTGCTCCCGTATACTCGATCTGAGGGACTTCAATGTCGATCTCTCGAGGCTCTGGGATCGAAGTCAGCAATCTCTCCAATGGATTGTGTGTAATAGCCCCCAAGCAAACACTCCTAGACGTTTGCTTCCAGACCTGTTTCTAGATCTGATCCCTCTGGGCCTGGGGCTGTCATTACCTCCTCATAGTCGGACGAGGGGTCCACCTCAGCGGGCTAAGTTGTCGCGGGGTCAATAAATCGGCAAACATAAGAGTGGAAGACACGAATTCGCACCGTTTGCGCGTCATTAAAATCCCCCATTGGTAATTCTTTCGTTTGAGGCTTTCAGGTGCTGTTTCTGTGGCAGCATGTTGCCCGGGAGAGTGGCCAAAGTTGAATCCCGATCGTCGGTTAAGAAGTGGAGAGAAGCATTTTAAGACCGCGTCTGTGACCGTCTTCGCGTCCAACACACCGCTTTGTTTGGGTGAACCCCCCAACAAGCCACCAACGAGCAAACATGAGCAGGGGACCAAAGTCCCGTTGGCTCATATTCTCGCGTCAGATCCCAAGATAACCCTCCTTCGACTTTGATTGGCTCGCTTCAGCAGACTGCAGGATCGATACTGGTCATGATTGGACACATATTCCATAGTGCCCCACGGCTGCAGATGTTTCTGGTTTGCGAGGTGACTGCTGCATGAGCTTGCAGCTGCATCCACGTTCCGGCCATTGTACCCCTCTGGCTTCAACTTAAAGCGGAGACGTCACAAACATCAACTCGTTGGAACACTTGGATATAGCAGTTTGAATGTGGTGTTGAGCGAAGCCGTGTTGGCTATGACCACAATATTCCGGCGGAACCTTCTTTGGCTAGGACAATCGAAGCTGAGCAGCCCATGCGCTTGCCGAGGACGACGTCAATTACCTTGCAGAAAGTCCATATTCTCTCCACTATAACACCCCATGGACGACACAACGCGGCCAGCGATCGCGACTTGTGAAGACGATGCACATTACCTTCCTCCACACTCAATTGAACGCAAGTCTTGTCAAAGGAACTGGAGCCCCACCTTTGCCTCCTTCTCATCATGAGGCTTCTTAGCGTAAACGCAATGCCTGCACTGACTGTCAGCTACCGATGCCGCTCACTTAATACCTCATTTGTAATCACACTCTCCAGTTCGCGTGGATCCTGCGATCGCGCGGATCCTTCCGCGCCAACGCGCACAGCGCGAGAACCTCCTTCTGGCTTTAGTCCAGGGCCCGCAGGACCGGTACCTACTGACGGGCGACTCGCCGCTTACATCGAATAACCTTGGAAAGCGTGCCGCCAGTGTCCTGTTGAAAGATGTCGCTAATCGGGGTTGAAGGGATGAAAGTTGCTGAGGACATCCAAGAGAAATATATCACCAGAGGTAGTTTTTGCAGCAACGCATAGGCATAATGTGTTCGCAAATGAAAGATATTTAGTTGCTTGGGTACATGATCATCGTGCCACTTAAAACTGTGTCCATCTCACTGAGTGCTGGTGCGGTTGGTCCGACGACCACATTCGACACTCCTACTCCTCATCCTCTTCTGTCTCAGGCTTCCTGGCATACAAACACTGTCTACCCACAGCGTCAGCATCGTCAGAATCATCAACATCACTGAAGCACACGCGTCGCACTCACATCCGCCAGTACGCGTGGATCTTGAGACTGCGAAGCTCCTTCCTCGCCAAAGCGCACAGCGCAAAGACCTCCTCCTTGGTCCAACCCATTACGCGCGTAAGGAGAGCAAGTGAGATTGCTTCGAGGCCCATGCTGAGGTTGTGAAATTGCCAATCGCCGAGGACCTGCAGGTGCGGGTCCTTCGGCCACGGGTTGAGAGGCCATTTGAACTCGTGCAGCTTCACGTCAACGAAGCCCGTCGCTTTCATGGCATCTATGTAAACCGTCGGACTGTCGATCGGTCTACCCATTTGCTTCGATGCCTGATAAACAGCATCATGCCACTTCCAAAGGGCTGAATCCTTGGACACGGTTCCGTCGTCGCAACCAAGGGGGAGGACGAGATCACCGACCTCGTACCAGCCACCAGGAGTGAGATTACTAGAGAATGAACAAGCTCATCAGTCTATCATCTGGGGAATAAAAGCTGCAATGGATGGTAGGAAGTGGAATCCGGGAAGTGATAGCCTTGGCCTTTCACCAAACCTGCGATACGATGGGTTAGTACTTACTCATAGACTTTTTGAATGATGGCAGGTACGTTAGCGAAGGCACCAGCCATGCCGCGGCACATGATGAAGTCGAAGGGGGTTTTCCATAGCCATTCCTTCTCAAGATCATCAACCTCGAAGAAGCAATTTGTAGGTGTCCTGTGAACTCCTTGAGCACAAGACGCACAATTGGCATTGCTAACTCATTCTTACCATTCGGGCTGGATCGGGCTGAGGTCAACGCCGATAACCTAACATGAGTACTCTTATCAACTAAGTGAACAGATTGCTTGCTTGTTATTGCTCCTACCTCTGCAGCGGGGAACGCGTCCGCTATCGTGTGACGTAAGCTAGTGGCTCCAGGAGATGAATTGATGCCAGTGTTTCGGCTTACCATAGTCGATGGCCCATACGCCCGTCCCGGTCCCAAGGTCGAGAACTCTTTTGGCAGTCCTATGACCAGGATTGAGTGCCAATTCGCCGTCAAGGCACAACAACCAGACGTGGTGTTGCAAGTCTGCAAAGGGCGTGAGTTACGCAGCGCAGGAAGAGGCCCCAAAGGGCTCCTGTAGAATGACTCACCATAACGTTCGCTTTCTCTCTTCATTTCATGCCGCAGTTAGAAAGTCCACATCATCTTAACACGATAAAGGGGGCTCGAAGCTCACGTCGTCGTTGGGATAGCTATATTCTGTATTGCAATGTCAGCATTAATTAATCTTTGGCCGTGTTCGGATTATCATACTCCCCGCGCTTAAAGAATGATAAGTTCTGCCATTCTCCACTTGATTCTCCATAATGCTAGACCTGAGAGATGCCAACGATGAAGCTTCGTGGACCTACATTTGGTCAATATCTTAGGTTCTTGACACTGTGCTAAGAGATACGTAGCGGGGCAGAGGTGTACTTACGTCTCCAACCTCGGACGCGTCGTCCGCATTGATAGGCTAGATTGGAAGCGAGGACTATCAGCAAGGGTTCAACGACCTCTACAGTACAAAGAGTCTGTCCTAAATGTGAAAGATCATACATTCTCTGTGTCCGGTGGGGCCTGCATTGTCGCGAGGCTGTAGCCAAAGTGGCGATAATTCAATTCACTGTCTTGGCGTTTGGTTGCCCGCTCGACTTCAAAGTCCGGAATCCTTCGCCTACCCTGGCTTAGGACATGCAAGTGGAAGACAAACTTGATGTCTGTTGGAAGGGGCCTTCCCCCTAAATATGCCCGAGTGCAACATGGGGGTTCCAATGGACAGCCCCACTAACAGTTCACGCGAACCAACAACAATGAAAATGACACATGTCGCAACGGCGGTTGGAACTCCTCGGCGGGCGCGGGAATTGCGCTTCGTGGAAGAAAACCCGCTGCGATGTGATTGGGGGGGACAGGAAGTCTTGTCCCTGGGATGTGGGCGAGTTGCTCGGCGTTGGATCTCGATTGGCCACACACCCCGGTGACTTCTGCACCGGGGCAGCATCGCCTGCAGCCGCTGAGAAAAGGTGACGATTTTCACAACCCCTGCAACCGTTGCCTTTCACCAACAAAATCTGTTCAAGAATGCTGCGAGGATCATTAGCCTGATACTCTGCATCGTTGTTACTAACGGATACAAATGGGGGAGAGGGGGAGGGGGGGGGGGGGGGGGGGGGGGGGGATGGGAAAGAAATAGAAAAGAACGTCTCAGACATTTTCTTTCGTATCTGTCTCGGTCCCTTTGCAGGCCCCTGCAGCGGTGAAGCAGTGTTTAGTTCCTTACGGAAAGACGACGATGGAAATAGCGCATTCGTATTGCTGTAAACCTCACGATAACAAAACCTCAAATCTTCCAATAACGCTAAGTTTCATGTGTATAATAAGTCACTATAGATGAGCGATTTGACGTAATTTGGTGAAGCACGCCTACCTTAAGCAGAGCCCTGTCTATTCCTACGTCTTACCACGTGTTGATGGTGTTTCGAAACACTAAAGTTATAATAGATCAACGGCATTGCTAACCCAACTGAGTCAACTTCTCCTCTACATAGTTGTTTTCGTTCGAAACTCTTCATGAGATAGATATTGTGTGACAAAGATGAACATGACCTTGAGTACTGATTGGGAAGTTGGGTACTACCTCTTATTCTCACTGTTAAACACACCTTCTCATTTCCTTGTCCTTTTTTTTTTTTTTTTTTACTCCCTCTTTTGGTCTTGTCGTCTCCAAGATATGTATTGATCGTCAAACGCATGAACAACGATATTGTGAGAAGACAATGACAGAGGTCCGACCTTCGTACCATAACTCAGTCAAAAGCAGTCGTTCTACGCCCGACTACCCAGCGCCTACACCTCTTCTCAATTCCCTCAGCATCTCAACACCAAACCCCCATCCACAAACCTACCGCCAACCCCCCAAGCCCACCCATGGTCCCCCGTCCTCCCCGCCCCCGCCGCACCTCCCCCTCCATCCCC